GCAGCTGTCATTTTGATATGACCAGATGACGCTGTGCCACACGACAGTGGTGCCACCCCTGCAGCCTGCAGGGTGAGCCTGCAGATTTGTCACAGAGGACTTAGACAGCTGCTTTAGTGTGGCTTTGGCCCAGTGGTAGAGTCAGTTGTCTTCTAATCAGAAGGTCAGGGTTTCTATCACAGATCCTGCTGTTTGCATGCTGAGGTGTCCTTGGGCAAAAACATTTGACCCCACTGGCCCCCGCTTGCTGAGACCAGTGGCATGTGGGGGACGTTAGTTGAAAACTGATGGGCTCTGCAGCCTCTTCCATCAGTGTGTGAATGTGATATGAATGGGTGAAAGTGGCATGTAATATAAAACAATTTTGAGTGGTTAGAAGAATAAGAAAAGGGCTTTATAAACACAGTCCATTTACCATTTGCTTCATACAAAGTCAACACATTATCTCCTTCTTTTATTTTGCCATCTATGGTGCAGGACCCAAAATACTAACACAAAAGGATGTTTTAAGTTCATGATTGTCCACTCAGGATGGCTTTGATTTGAGCATTTGTCCTCTATTTTTGTAGAAAACTATCACTGCATTAGTTTACTGAGGTTAAAAGTGCATGCAATGGTCATGTAGCGATATGACAGCCCTCTGCTGGCTCAAACTGCTAACTATTTTGCTGTATATTTTGTCCATATAACCAGTTAGAACCACACCGCCAGCTCCTGGCTGGTTTTAGAGGAACAGATTAACCAACCCACAGGAAGCACAGAGAGATGAAGAAGTGTTTCATTGATATGGACTCTGGCCTCAACATGAAATACGTTTAGAAATCAATAACAGATACGGATGATGGAAGAAACACCCCTCAGTGGCACATTACCAGCTCATCATCAGGGCTGTTGGAAGAAAGAAACAGAACAAAGATGACTTCACATGTCAGTGAAACGACACGTGAATGCAGAAAAGAAAAGAGAGTATGGCATGAAACAATGAGTTCACGTGACAGAAACGGTAAAAAGAGCTCAATGTGTCAATATTTTGAAGCATGACTCAGCAGTGATTATGTAATGAGTCAGCTGTTATATTTTAAAAGTATTATTCATTGTGTTTACCATTGAAAGACTAACCTCTGAGACCTAAAATTAAAGCTATACTTTCCTTTGAAGATGACCACAAGCCATTTCCTGCAAGTCTGAGACTGAGTCAGGTCTCTCATGGTGCAAATTAAAAACAACAACAAAAAATCTGTTAAGATCATGAAATGGGGGCTAAAGGACTCAACAAGAAGTATTTTTCAAGACAGCCAATCATAGTGTGTTGATTTTGTACAAATCTGCATTAGGCTGTTACATGAAAAAACATAACTCCCCACAAAAGTAAACCACAAGAAAAGGAGTTTCATTTCAAAGTCACACCCCTGAAGTAAGCCACAGTGAAGCCTCTGAGTAACTATACACAATAAATATTTACTGTGAAACTGAGACTAACCACAAACAGAAAAACAGCAGATCTTCTACGGGATATTTTTAACCAGGGACTAATGGTGTTTACCCACACACATATCTGGAGGGCCACTTCACTTTTGAACTGAACACACAGTCACTTATCAGGCTGCAAACTGGACTGTAAACAATGCAGCATGTGGGAAATTACGTTTATTTTAACTGCTGGCTGCAACAGAAATACAGAGAAGTAGTCTGTTTTTTATTCATGTGAATCATGTAATGTGGAGAAGGGACAACTCCCACTGAGCAATAGACGGCTATGAGACGTCTAGGTTTTTTTTAGATCTAATTTCAACTGTGTAGATTCTGCATATTTTTAGATGGAATTTAGACGTTGCACTTCAACCCATTATCCGATAACTATTTATTTCAAAAAGCAACTGTGAGTTGCATAACTGATCTCCAAGTACTTAACCAAAATAATTACATATACATAATGAAGTATAGATATAGCTCAGACTTAGATTTAGTCTAAACTTGGTCTAAATTTAGATGTCTAAAAAACTTTAAGACCTGTGGTAGCCTGATTTTAGACTAGTCTTCTAGGCTACATTTAGACGCCTATTAGACCTCTTTTAGACCAAAAAATGCTCAGTGGGCTGATGGGTTTTAGTGGTGAGATCAAATTTAGCTGGAAACGAACATATGAAAGTTGCAGTGATGCAGCCTAACAGATGCGGACTGTCATGAAATCCAACAGAAAAAGAAGAGTGTGTGAGGTCAGTGGGTTGTTGTCATCATAAAGCTCCTATGAGAAGTTTTTAGCTGATTGTGAAACAGAGTTATATTCATTTTTTATAACCTGCAAAAGCAACTGTGATGCATGTTAACTATAATCTTCTTTTTATGAAGTTTTTACCATCAAGAACTCTGACAAATACAACTTCTTTTGTGCACAAACACCACTCTTTTACTCATGAAATAGAAAAACTCGTCTGTCACCAATGTGTTCTTGCTGTGCTGCTGTACATACATGGAGAAGCAAGATGGTTGCTTTTGTGGAATGGTAGCCACTCCTTTGTAGATATAAGAGGCTCATTAACAATGATTTTTAGTTCCAGGTAGTTACACACTAATCTTATAATACTTATGAACATCAGGTTTTACCAAGTTTAGTCTTGAAAAACCAATAACTCCTGTGTACCAAGTTCATGTTTACTTTGGGTGAAATAATGCAGTCTAAAAACTCCCTCATGCCTCACAGCTTGGTTCCCAACACATGCAGATCAGTTTGCCGGTTTCCAAGGCAACCAGTCAATTATTTGTTCCAGGAGCTTTGTCTTTCGGCGGGTAGAGCTGTAACCCTTCCCCTTCACTGTGACCCAGGAGGCCGTGTCCGTCCTGTCCTCAGTAACTCTGAGTCAATGATAAACCTCTCACAGGAACATCCACAGACCGTGACAGGAGCGGCACAAAGAGCCACGAGACAGGACGTTGCAACACATTAAGAACATTTTGAGAAACATTACTGCTGAACAGGCAGAAATAAATATAAAAAGGGAGACAGGGAGGCCGTGAATAGTGCTTTAGATTTTATAAGGCATGACAAATTGCTTGATTGTTCCATGTCATGCTCTGGTGCGTGTGAGGCATATGGGATGATCATTTGCCGCTCTGTGTTGTAATTTATGCTGCTTGTTTGTTGTGGAGGAATACTGAAGCTCAATCAAAAAGACCGTCAGTGCCAGAATCATTGTTAGGCACGTCTAAATTCTGTTTACTCTTCAGATGTCAGATAAACCTCCACTTCATGCAGGAAAGAACACCACGCTCAGAGATGCCAACAACAAAACACAGAACAGGTTTGAGTTATTCATACGGCACATACAGGATCTTGTTTTTATTGTCACAGTGGCTTTCCCTTTGGTTAATGTTTTTCCTCATTGGCCTTTATCAGACAAATTGATGGGGTAATGAATATTTAGTTGGTGCCTTGTGCAGAGTTGATTAAAAAGCTTAATTTTCACTGAGAGGAAATCATCAAGCTAATCAAGTCTCGTAAAACTAAAGCTGTAACATTGTGGCGTCCACGTCACAGCTCATTTTCCAGCAGCCAAAAGGGAACGATACAAGAGAGGAAAAACTGTTTCTATGAGCTCAGATTTAGAGGCTTGACAGGTTTTGATTGGGTCTAAATATTCTTTCGTTTCTTTACATTTTAATCTTTCAACGTTGCTCCTAAAACCAGATTAGCTGTCTTTCCGAGTTTACACTCAGGGCTGTTATTCTTTCTCCATGAGGAGATCTTCTAGCATTTAAATCCAGCGTGATGAAAGTGATTCTTTCCCCACAGAAAAGTTAATAAAAGTCAATGATGTTATCCATGTCAGTGAACCAAGAAACAACCCCAGCTCTGATACATGTGGGGTAATAATTGGACTCATGGGACTTGACATTGGAGCGCAGCAGTTTGTGCTACAGGATGGGTCAGAGGTCAGCAGCAACTGAGCATGTTTTCCACCAACACAGGAGGAGCAGAGGGGAAACAATGCAAAGGAGTACATAATTAGACATGGGAGAAGGTGTTTCTATTTCTATGGGACCACCTACGTGAAACTGTTGGCATGCAAGATAAGAAGTTGTCGAAGAAGTGTAAACATGCTGCAGGTTGAAAGTTGTCCATTTGTAGAGATTGGCCGCCAATTTAAAGACAATGAGAGAATGCATGCCAAAGTCTAAAACCAATGCAACAACTGAAAAACATGCAGCAGAAAGCCCAAACAGCAAGCAAGCTGCAAATGTCCTACAAAATCATAAATAAGTGCATCCAGACAACTAATGAAAAAGGTAAAAAAGATATTAGCAGATATGTAGACTCTGAAAATAATCTGTCACTCTGTGTGTTGGTGTCTCTACACTCCAAACACTATTTAATATGGGACTCTAAATTCATCTGATAAAGCGTTCCTTAAAGACAATGAAACAGACATACAGACAAAAAGTAATAAAGGCAAACCAACAATTAAACCAACAGACTAATTAAATGAGAGCTAAACTGCCATTTTTTTGTCACATGTTGAGTCTCTCACATTTGCAAATGTGCACTTAAAAAACGATTGAAAGTAAGGGTCTTTTTAGGCCCATGAAGCACAGAAAGGGACCAGCAAAGGTCAGTTTGATCGCAGGTAATACAACAACAAAGTGGTTTTCTGGCCGTGCATCTTTTCTGTTTTATTTGTAGAGATTCCATCATTTCATCTATTTTGGACTATGTCTTTGCTTTGAATTTGCAGCCTCTTTCTCTGAGAGGAAATTGTACCAAGTTTGTCCTTGATCACCACCTTAAGATGCACCCAATTTGTTCAAGGTAGTAGAAGATAATGAAAGAGTGGTACCAAAGTAAAGAATAAAAAAACAAGTATTGAAAACTGCAGTTGAAGAATGAGGCCCAAGTGTTGCCGTTAACATTGTGTTTGGATTGTTGTGAAAGTCCCGGCTGTGTTTGTGTGACTAAACTTGAGCTTGACTCAGACCATGTGGTCAAATGTGTGTTTTCACTCTCTGTCCTTTGTCAACACAAATAGGAGCAACCAAAACTGATTACAACCAGTGAACAAATACACTCTGTAAGTCTCCATAATTACAGTGTTTTTCTTCATACCTGCTCCATGTGCTCCTGTTTTTTTCACCTCTTAATAACAGTTTATCTTCTTTCACTGGCCCAGAGAGTGTGTGGTGTGGTGTGGTGTCAGGTCACAATGGCTGAAAGCAAATCTCACAAAAAGAGCGATGTTGTTACCTGGGAGGACCTGTATTTTCAATGCACCAAGCAGGTAAACGGAAAGCATTTCTTTAAACTCAAGCTCATCCTGCTTTGATATTTGATGCATGCATGTTGGACAAGGTTTTACTTAAAAATAAAATAAAATAAAAAATTCAGATGTTTCACTCAATGTGAATCTGTCATTTCAGTGTCAAAGCCCATAAAAAAGAGATAAAGCTTACCTTTATATAAACACCCCAGATAAACAGCTGGGACAAAGTTGTGTTGGTAGAAACAGTAACAGCATTTCAAAATATATTTGACTTTTTATCAAAAGCAAATATTCTACCTCAGTTTATCTTAGTCCACCTGCAAGCTGACCAAAAAGAACCTGCACTCTGTTATCTTGCTGTATGCACAATACATGTCAACGACAATTACCATGTGCAAGAAAGTCAGTGTTTCCCAAATCTTTTGACTCAGTCTTGTCACTTCTGCGGGTGTTTTCAAAAACCTCTGTCATCAATGATCTAAAACTCTGTTTGTCATGGGCAGGGGGTTAAAGTAAAAGAGAAATATCATTTTCAACAAGTGAATACAGTGAAGGTGTTAAAACATATAGCAAATTCATGTTAACTCACTGAATTCAGGCTGCATGATTTGTGTTCTCAACTCACACCTAGTCATGTCTTTGAGTTGACTTAACCCTAAACTAACATACTGTTAAAGGCATGGTTGACGATCTGAGAAGCAGTTGAAAAAAAAACTGAGCCGTTTAGGCAGATTTGAAAAAAGCGTCCCACCCCTAGACACAAACCTCTACCTTCTATACTCTACAATAACTACCCCCCTGGACCTTTATCGCCCTCCCCACAACACTCCCCCTCTGGCAGAGCAAGCTATCATGTTGACATTGCAGAGACTAATGAGAGTTATTTATGTAACATGTGCCACGATAAAAGGCAAAAATTACCTGTTCAACGTAAACTCTGCTATTTCAGCATCTGTTTTCAGGCCCAAATCCTGGCAGAGCTTTCTCCACCGTTCGAAGAATGACTTGATGTTTATTCAAGTTAGATTCTTTGCTTGGTCACATTGCCTCTTTTTCTGTTGGCTTGCATTTTCTTAGCACTTTTGGCGGTGGGGCAAGCAGAAGAGTTTTTTTCCGTCCTTTTCCATCACAGCTCCTGTAGCTAAGCTGCTACGCTACATTTAGCCGCTCAGAGCTCCGAGGAGGACCGGGGCAGTGGGAAGGAACGAGTCGGAAAGACGGGAGAGGGGTGTGTTGAATACAGCGAGGTGATTGGATGGAGAGGCAGAGCAGGAGATTGACCAATAGGAGCTGTCTGGGACGGATGGCTCCCATTGGTCAATGTTTTTGCAGCCCTGAACCTGCTAGGGTGAACAGATCTTTTCCATCCTTTTTTCTCTTTACTTTGTGGAGATCGCACTACAGGACCATGATCGCCATATAAACCAGGTTCATAATAATAACCAATCTCTCCAATCGTCAACCATGCCTTTAAACAGTTGTTCCAATAACGGTTCCAATAATGCATTTTTAAAACCATGCCCTAACCATGCAAATTAAAAATGTTTCCTCAGTTTTCTGCTGTTCTTGCCACGTGACCCCTGAGGTAATCATGACACATTAACAACAGCATCAGTTGCAACAAATCAATTTACTGCTGCACAGGAAAAACAACCACAATATATATTATTTTCAGCAAAATAAAGTCTGGCTCTGAGTCAGTATGATACTCACAGATACATTCAGACGTCAGCTGTGCTTCTGCTTCTTAAATATTGAATGTCCTCACAGTGCTGCAGCCTGTGGCGCTGTCTGTAGCTCTGAATACTTGTATTTTGTCTCTACCCCCTTAGAATTAGTAAAAAGTTTGGTTTTAGTTGTTGTGTTCTTATGTGTTGTCCTCATGTCCGTTTTTGGACTGACCTTTTGGTGCACATGTGCGGCATTTTGCTAAAGTTCAACCATCTTGAGGAATAATTGGGGTCGGCAGTCTGTGGCGTTTTTGTTTTGGGGTCAGGGGCTAAAAAGTTAGGGAACCCCAACCTACATGAAGATGTTTAAATATGCATAACTGTCCCTATAACTTCTATTAATAGCTAATTTACCTGCTTTTAGACATTTTGAAAACTAACCTCAGTTTATTAATGTAAGTCTGGGAATTTATCTCTATAGAGGTTACTGATATAGAAATACACAAAAAAGATTTTATAGAAATCCCCAGTTTTACACGAACGCATGTTGGGAAATGAGAGGTAGGACTGAACTTTTAAAATAAATTCCCATATTGTTGGGAAATGTCTTTGCACAGCTGCGTCCTGGGTTGACATCAGCCCAGTGTGCAATTTCAAAATTGAGAGTGAGCACAGTTTTGCAACACTAAATGGCTTAACTGAGCGTTTTGAAAGTGTTTCTTCACCTCGGAATAAGATTATTTAAACTTTATAAACATGTGAGCTGAAATGTCAAATATTAACCAAGTCTTGAAACAGAGTCAAACAGAGCCCTGTCACCCCTCTAAAACACCACACTCCCAGCATGCAGGCCTGCTCATGGTACCTAAAGCCTTTAAAAGTAGTATGAGAGGTCTTCAAGCCTCTCCCCTGGAATCATCTCCCAGTCAGGGTCTGGGAGGCAGCAGACACCCTCTCTACCTTTAAGAGTTAGCTCAAAACTTTCCAATTGGATAAAGCTTACTGTTAGAGCTTGGATTACTTCTTAGTAAGGCTGTTTCAAGCTCAGACTGGCACACCGTCTCTCCTCTTTCTGTCTGCATGTTGTTAAGTTTAAATCTTCATGTCCCACTAAACTACTTACCCCAGATCTTTCCACAAGGTCTCTGAGCTCCCTTGTGTTGTAGGTTCCTCTGGGTCGCTGCTGCAGACATCCTGCAGCTGTGGACCTGCCTGAGTCCAGCTGCTTCAACTTCAAGTCTTACCATTATCACCACTGTTATAACACTAAATGTGTATTTTAGAATAGATCAACTCTAATAGCTATAACCCATGTTAATATATCATTTTTGTCATGATTGTAAATGCTTGTGTCACACCTGTTGACTTCAAATATTATGACTGTTAAGATCAGTCTGCTTTGCTGTTCCTGTACTTTTTACCATTATCACTGACACTCTCACCAAAAGTCTGCAAGAGCTCCTGTTGTTAATGTGTCTCTATCCGTCTCATTATTTCTTCTGGTTCTGCTCAAGGTTAAACCTCTCTAACTTGCTAAATGCTGCACAGAGCTCTACTCAAAGTGGGTTGAAATGGGATCTTTATCACATAAAAAGTCTTGACCTTCTTTTTTGTTGTGTCTTGAGATAACATTTGTCATGAATTGGGGCTGTATAAATGAAGATGGATCACCCTGAAGGTGGCTCTGTAGTGGTTAAATACCATGGACCCTTGTTTTCAGGATTGAGTGGCACCAACTCTTTTTCTTTTTCTTGCAGAGCAATCAGGGTAAAAAGATATGAAGATTTTTCATCCCTGTTGCTTAATCATCGCTCCGGCACAACCTGTTAATACTTCAACCTCAGTAAAATTAAGCACAGATTAATCAAAGAGAAAAGATGGCTCACACCACAAAGTGTAACTCGTCAGGATAGACTTACTCTTACTCTTTTGGCAATGACCCTGGTTTGAAAACCTTAGTTTCACAAATAAAACAGCCACATTTTTACACTGCAAGCAACATACTTACATATTCGGAGCTGGTTAAAATGCAAGATGAGCCTGAACTCTCCGCAACCCCAAAACGGGCAACAGAGGGAAGAGCTTTGGTGCTAGTCTTGCCATTTATTTTATTTTTTTTATTTAATGGCACAGGGTCAAACCATAGATTGTATATACTATGGACACCTTGGTTCCGCCTTCCGCAAGTATTTGGATTTAAAGCTGGAAAGCTCTTGGTAATTCCGCATTTTTTTTTCTACTCCCAAAACCAACATTACACAGTAGCATTGATGATGCTCGACTCAAACAGCGTATCCGGGTGAGCTACGCAATCTTTGTTTGCCCATAGGCTGTATCGAGTGTCAATCATAGAAAACATGAACCCCTAACAACTTTTAAAAACTGAGCTACACAGAAAAAAATGACTTGAGCACAAACCAGTCCTACATTAGCTACATGTCAACATTGCAAGCAGGGAGAAGAAAAATGTATATTCTGTGTAATAAATTTCTAAATTTTGTCCACAGCTCCATAAGGATGGCTGGAGGAGGCGGGATTTATGACCTATACTGCAGCCCAGGGTGTGCTGTTCTCGGAGTGGCTTCACCCAGGGCGGAGGCAGACTGTGTCCATTCTATATACGGTCTACAGTATAACTGTTTCAAAACTTCAGGAAACAAAACAGAAGGTAGTAATAGTTTGGTAATCATTGTTTGAAATATCTTGTCTACCTGTGATCCTGCAGTAATGGAAATGAAAAGGAGCCATAATTTTAATGCATTTTAAAGGGGAGGACATTCAAAACAAAACAAAACAAAAAAGACTGTTGTAAACATGCAGGCTGACCAATATGTAAGTTTACATTTTATTTGAGAGGATATCTTTGCATATAAGCTTCTGAAAAAACATTCAGTGACAGAAGTTTGCAAGGTTGAACTTAATTACTGACTTGCTTTCAGCACAGCTCACTGTTACTTTCTACTATATTCTCATATATTTAAGGTGGAACATGAATAAACACTAGGGGAGAGTGGAGTAAGATGAGCCGTTTTTCATATTTCGGATCACTACATCAAGGCAATCATAATTTTGTCTCTAACTAGTGTATCTGCATATATTTCAAGATGTTGTTCATCCCTGCAAACCAACAGAATGAGTGTAAACATAACTGTCTTGATGATATAGCATGCCAAAAAAAAGTGGTCTCCTATGGTCAACTTACCCTGTGTATGGGGTAAGTTGAGCAGTATCCCTACAACCCCTCCACCCCAGCTCTCCCTCACCTTCTCTCTCCCTAAACAACAGTCACTTCTTCACATTCATGTGTATTTTTATTTATTATACACTATTCAACTGGTACAATAATCTTTTTAGTATTATTGCATATAACTGCTAAAAAGCTGTTTTGTAAAAAGTCACATGAGAATGTCTTTAAGTGATTGAGAACATTCACAGCTGTATTTTTGAAAAGAAAAAGTAACATGTTTCAACAATCTGAACTGAAACTCTGATCCTCTCATCAGACTTCTTTACTTTCTCAGTTGAGTCACTGGCTCAACTTACCCCTGAACTACTATGATTACTTTATTAGTCCTCTCAGCTAAAATGGTGGACTTTTATAAAATGATCTTTTTTGGTCTGAACACAATTCTAATAAAACTTGTGACAGATTAAATTCACTCTCAAGAGTTGATGCCCATCTTCTAAATATTTGGTTACATGATCAATTTCTTTTACTATTTCCAAGCAACAGGGGGTGGATCAACTTACCCCACTCTCCCCTACCTAACTGATGTGAAATCTGTGTTTACTCGGGTTTTACATGCTAAACTAACAGGTTCCTGCAGAGTCTGTAGGGAGTCTATATAAAACCTATTTTTTGCGCCTGTCCTGCAGTTATGTCATCGCTTAGATACGCTGTGGTCAGCTCTATAGGATGTGTGCGCACACAGACTGCAGGCTGTGTGACATACTTCAGCTCATTGAGTAATTGCATAACTGGTTGCAAAGCTTCATGGCTTAGAATATAGACAGTGTGGGCCAAAGATAGACCATCACTCACTGATTGATTTACACTCAGAAAGGTGACGCTCTGATGAATAATGTCAGGGGTCCAGTTTAGATGTTTTTCTCCATTAATGACATAAAATAATCCTACAGAGGCCAAGCTTTATGTTTCAATGAGTGCACTTTGGAGCGCTATACAGTGAATTTCTCCTCTCTAACGCAAAGCTATATAAACCCCGCCCACGTGACCATGTCGTCGTGTTTAATTTAGAGGTCGCCTCGCGAACTGCCGTGAGTGCATTTCGGGGTCGCTGGTAAATGACAGATTACTCACATTGGTGTGAGCCCATGTAATCCGATTCCGCTCCAGTTCATTCTGTGCAAATCTCATGTCGTCATACTGTAGCAGCAGCCTACTGTTGGAGCGCTTCAGCCTCTCACAGGCCCGACCAATCGACCGCAGAGACATCCAACACAGATGCACTTTGACAACACTGTGTCAACAGCTGTCAGCCCTATCATGACTAAAATAACATGTCATTTGAGATCAATATTTTACTAATTACTTACTGATAATCACTCCAGACCAAAAACTCAGGATTAATATCGTCATGATTATCATAAAGCTTCAGTCTAATCGTTCCTGCCGGTGGTCATCAGACTTTTTAACTCCTCCCTCAGAGAGTCTGACTCCCTCAGTCAGTAGTCTTTACCTGGACAATGCTTACTGTTTTACTATTCTGAGTTGTATAAAGTGTTGTATGTAGTTGTATGTAGTGAACATACTTGCATGTTATCTCTTTATTTTTACTTGTTTTCCTCATTTTATCTATTTATCTCTTTATTTTTACTTATTTTTCTTATTTTATCTATTTATTTTTTATTATTTTTACTTATTTTATCTATTATTTATCTCCTCTTTTTACTGTATTTGCACTGGAGTACAGTTACAAAAAGCAATTTCCCCCAGGGATTATTTCTGATTCTGATTTTATTACCAATGTTACTGCTGCTGTGTTGATTATTATATCCTTAACCTGAGCAATACATGTCCATATAAAAAAAATTACATATATACATATATTCAAACACACATGCATATATATTATTTTTGATAATTCTCTTTAGTATTTAACTTTCTATTTTATTCTTATACATACGTTTTATTTTACTGTTCTGTAGAATTCTTGTCTTGTATATATAGTACCTTCTTTCTTACAAATATTTGTACTTTTGCTACCTTATTTTTACTTGTCTTTTGCACTGGAAAAGGAGAAGCTCTCCAATCTCATTGTACTTTTAGTACGATGACAATGAAGGACATTCTGATTCTGATTCTGAGGTAGTTCACAGTTGGACATCAACTCTGTGACCATATAAACAAAGATACCTCTCATGAGTATCAGTATTAGCCTTGTAGCACTGTGCAGCAACATACTAAGGCTCTTTGTGGATCTGAGGCGAAGAATAAAAAAGAGACACCTGATGTATGCAAAAGAGCACAAGTGCTTAGAGAGTCATGACAAACAAAGATCTGCCTCCTGCAGCATTTTGAAAACCATTTTGTAAATTCTTCAGTTTCCTGCCTCTCTTCAGCATTCTGCAACAGTTGGATAGTTGGAAAGGTTGAATTTTAGTGTGTTCAAAAAAGGATAAACCAGTAAAAAAGATTCAGGAGGTTAACCTGAGCAGCACCTTGTCTGGAGGCTATAAAATCCCTGGTGCCCAAAGTGAGGGGTTTGTTTAAACACAGAGAGGCACAAATAATAATACTGCAGTCATGTAGTGTCTGACACACTGGAAAAATAAGTTTCCTACGTGGAAAAAACAAATGTGAATATCTGCTGAAGTAGGCACAACTATTTGGAAACTGTGGAACAAATTAGTTCCTGGATTTGCATCATCATCTTAGTGGGCAAATAATCTTTTGTTGACTGTCAAAACTTTTCATTACTTTACAAATGAAACATTTTGTGATCAACACAGTGCATATTTGGTATTACTCAGAGTTATTGGCTCCTTGTCACAAAATACTGGGACCAACTTCTGAATTCTTCTTCTTCATATCATCCATGTTTGTTCTTATAATCATTGCAAAATTTTGACATTACAAATTGGAAGGACATTGACACCCCAAAACCAATAAACTGGGGACTGAGTCCATCTGAGGAGCACGAGAGGTGGGTCTGAGGGTCCTCCTGCAGTAAATTATGACCAATTAACACATTATTTGCTGCAGTGAGATGATTTTTTAAAAGGTTGTTTTGTGTTGAAACTTTAAGTAGCCTATGCGAAAAGAAAACACAAAACTATTAATGCATAATGGAGAAAAAAGTCAATTATACTTTGTACATTTTATCCACTGGAAGGGCATTCAGGGGGCTCCTTTTTCCACTGGGGGGCAGCTTTGAGAGCATATTTATGTGTGTTTTCCATTAAGAGTGAACCCAAAAGGGCATCTTATGACATTTAATCTACCACAGAAGTAAACAAGCCAGCACTGTACAAAGATGGACCTGCCTGTCAACAAAGTGAACCTCCTTTAACATGTGCCAAAACACATGGCAACAACTTCCTCTTTTGGATGGTTTTATGTGAGTCTCAGGATCACTGCTCTTTTTTGCTGGCACTTGCTGGTTGTTTTGTGTGTCAAAGGCCCACAGTACATGACAATTTATTCAGGGGCAAGATAAAATCAAATCAGCATTTCATTACTTTATACCTTAGAGCGATGGCACACAGCTCATAAGTGTCTGGTTAATCGCTTGTATTTTTGATTAAAACAAGTAGTTATCATTTCAACAATGTTTGTATCATGAGAGGTAACTGTGATCTTTGGTCGATCACAGGAGGACTACTTAGACATAAACCAAACATTTTTACCTGTATTAAATCAGCCAGTTCAAAAGGGGAAAAAAATAAGGAGTAGGTTATGTCAGATAAGTACTAGTCACAAAATTCATCATTGAAAATGTCTGAACTGTTTTCAAACCCTGCAGCTTAGAATATTAACCTATTTATTTTCAAGAACTACTGAAAAAGACATGGGAAAGAACAACTTGTGTCATTGAGACAGCTTGGTTTCCTGATATCAGCTATAGTTTTTCTTGCACATGTGACAACAGATTGAGCGCACTAAACCTGTAGTCTATAGCTGATATTTTGTATCAACACATCACACCTGTTCTCAAATCTTTACATTGGTTACCCGTTAGAACAGGACTCGATTTCAAAATACTGCTCCTGGTTTACAAAGCGCTACATGGCCTTGTACCTCAGATATGCTCATCACCTACACCCCAGCAAGAACACTTCGGTCAACAGGCAGTGGCAACTTACTCATCCCTCGCACCAGATCCAAAGAAGGGGAGGCAGCTTTTAGTGTTTATGCCCCACAAAAATGGAACACCCTGCCTGACACAGTTAGACATGCCACATCAGTAGCCATCTTTTTTCTATAGCATTTTGTTGAACTCTGTGTGTGTGTTTATATGTGTGCATGTGCATGTCTTCATGTAAGAATAAGAAGAACTTTATTCATACCTGAAGGGAAATTCAGATGTCTGTTGTCTCACATAATATGTCTCTAAAAGTCATCTACTATGTACACAAGAGTTATAGTCTAATGGCTGTTGGTACAAAAGATCTTCTGAATCTTTCTGTCCTGCAGCGAAGAGAGAGGAGCCGTAAATGGAAGGAGCTCTTCTCTTAAGTAAACTTTTCGCCCAGTAGAAGTATCCATCAGCAGCCAACAAAATGACAACAAAAATATGAAAAAAAAATCTTGCAAAAATTACAGATAATACAGAGAGATCAGACATGCAACAACCTTTCGGTTCACACAACATGATTGTGTGAGTGCGTGCTCATGTACAAGTTTAAGTGTGTATGCAATGAAGCTGTTTAACTGCACTTACACTCTTAAATTGATCTTTATATAACTGTTTTTTTTAAAACTACGTATACCTATTGTGAAGCACATTGAGCCTGCCTTGTGCATGAAATCCATCCATCCATTTTCTACCACTTATTCCCGTTGCCAACCATCCACACTCACATTCACACCTACAGGCAATTTGAAAGTGGCCGATTAACCTAACCCTACTTCTGCATGCTTTTGGGATGTGGGAGGAAACTGGAGTACCCGGAGTAAACCCACGCAGACACAGGAAGAACATGCGAACTCCACAGAGAAACACCCTGACCCCGATTCGAACCCAGGACCTTCTTGCTGTGAGGCGGCAGTGCTAACCACTACACCACTGTGCCGCCCCATTTGAGTGGAATCCGCTTTATAAATAAAGTTGAATTGAATTGAATTGTTTGTTTGTTTTTATTTAACATTTTTTAATTTCGTCCTTACAGATTGATTCTTTTTAAATTATACATTTTCTCTCTTTTTTTAGATTTTCTTGATTTTTTTACTTGACCTTTTTCAGTCACAGAGAAGTCCCTGTGTCAAATCTGTGGTTAAAAAAAAGCATCTTTTACGCATTGTGAGATCCAATCCTTTCTGAATCTGGAGTATAGATTGCAATCACTACAAACGCTTTCTTTTTTTTCCACGTTTAGTCGAACCCACGGTGATGCATCCCCCCGCTTTGCTGCATCGATTCGCTCGGCACTCGACTCTCTCACTGTACACCAAACTCGCTGCGCTCTGACCACTGCA